CCCAAATGGAAGTTGATGTCAGGATGACGATAGGACTTGGGGTAGGATTCAGCAAACTAAGAAATTCCCAAGGGACAGAGTGGGTAGAAGATGGATTAATCAGTTTATATGAACTCCAGTGAGCAAGGATTTTTACTGTTGGCTGGAAAAGACATGATTTGGAAGAAGCAGGGGTTATCCAGAAAGACTGGAATCCTAACTCTCACCCACAAGGCAATGGGGTATGCCTGAATGCCTCTACTTGAAGTAATGTGGTAGTATAACATTTTGTATCTCACTCACTCATATATCTTTCCAGAAAATACTGAGCACCCACTTTGTGCCAACCCCCTTTCTAGTTACAGGAGATATGGAAATAAACAGGAAGGTCCCTGCTATTAAAATATGTTGCTTTCAGAAGATAATCTATTCTCTAAAAGAATCGGAACAAGGCAATGAGAGGAATAGCAGGGCATATCATGAGTTAGGTGAGGGCTCTGTGAGGCTGTGACATTTCAGCTGGGACTTATGACAGAGTCAGCCATGCTTAGATGGAGAAAGAGCACTTTATGAGAAAACAGCAAATGCGAAGGCTGGGGGGGGTGCAGTTCAGTAGTTATACCTCCTTTTTGGTCTCATTGTTCTTTTTCTAGCTCTTAACACTTTCTGCCTTGCATTACCAGTGAACATGTTTTACACTCCCCTATTTTGTTTTTGAGCAAACTACTAGAAGATAAAGGCCTTGTCCTACTTATCCTTGCCACCTACAGCTCTGAGAAAAATTTGAATTGAAGATAAAAAGTTTTATATGATAAACATTTACAATTATTTCTCTAAGGGAATAACTATGTACTAACTAGCTTGTTAACTAGTTTGATATTTTTACTTGTCAAATTACTGACTTGTGTTTAAACAGACTCTTCTTGGTTTGTTATAATAATGATTGCCTGACAATAAGAAATAATGACCTTCAATTGCATGAGGTTAAGGGAATCACTGTATTTCCTAACGGCAAATATCTTTATTTTAACAAAAGTAGAACAAGTTTCAAAGTCTTGCTTACACACTAAATTATATTTCTTAGGGTAAAAATGACAAATAGAAACTGATCAATGTTTGTATTGGCAAATGTTTTTATCATCTCTTCTCTCTTATGATACACTAGTTTAAATTCAGCTTTATCCTGGTGATGGGAGACAAGATCCTGCTGCCTAGGCATGGTGGCTCAATCCTGTAATCCCAGCACTTTGGGAGGCCAAGGTGGGAGGATCACTTTGGGCCAGGAGTTCAAGACAAGTCTGGAAAACATAACAAGATCCTGTCTCTACAAAAAAATTTTAAAATTAGCCAGGCATGGTCCTGTACGCTGTGGTCCCAGCTACTCAGGAGGCTGAGGCAAGAGGGTTGTTTGAGCCCAGGAACTCCTGGAGGTTACAGTGAGCTATGGTGGCGCCACCGCACTCTAGCCTGGGCAACAGAGTGAAACTCTGTCTCAAAAAAAATAAAATAAAAAAAGATTCTGCTATCTCTGTACATAGTGATCTTGTTCATGAAGACTGGGAAAAACAAAACTAAACTGAGCCAATAAATAGCCACTAAAAAGGTTTCTAGAAAAATTTAAGATGCTACAAAACAAAATTATTGATTTAAATACATGGCACATTTCAAAGTGGTAGTCTAAGATTTTAGTAAAGTGCTGTATGTAACTAGTAGACATTCTCTTGTGGATGACCATTTCAGAAATTTCTATAGGGATTTAATTCTAATGTTTAGAGATGCTAATAATGGTTGCTTTATTAATAAAGTGTTGCATGAATAGCTAACAAGGTACTATGCAAATGAAATGAAGTACAACATGTTAAATACCCAAGTTATTTATTGCAATTGTCCTTAATAACAAATTATTGAAAACAACCCATCTGTTCATCAGTAGAGAACTGATTAAATAAGCAATATTATACCTACACTATAGAGTACAGTATAGCTATAAACATACACATACACACACACACTCACCACAAAAAAAGGGACTCTATATCCAGGACACATTTAAATAGGGGGAAAAACCCAATGATGCTGCCTTTGTGTAAGAAGGTCAATAAATAAAATATATGCATAAACTAACTCTAATATGTAGTACATATACAGCATAGAATACTGTGCAGTCATAATAATGAAATAATGTCTTTTGCAGCAATGGAGGCTATTATTCTCAGTGAATTAACATAGGAACAGAAAAACAAATACTGCATATTCTCACTTATAAGTGGGAGCTAAACACTGGGTACACAAGGACATAGGATGGAGCAGCAGACACTGGGGACTCCTAAAATGGGGAGGGAGGCAGGGAGGGCAAAAAGTAAAATACTTCCTGATGGGTACCATGCTCACTATTTGTGTAATGGGTTCAATAGAAGCCCAACCCTCACCATCATGCAATATACCCATGTAACAAATATGTTCATGTCCCTCTTGAATCTAAAATTAAAATAAATAAATAAACTCTAAAAAAAAATGTAAGAAACCAATGAAAGTGGTTACCATTAAGGTGGGAGATAATGGAGTAAAGAAAAGTTGAGAGGAAGATTTTTATTGTTTCCTTTTATAATGTTTTGATATTTAATAAGTTAAAAAACAAAATTTTATTAAAAATGGAATAAACAATACCTAAATGTGACAAGTAAGATAACCTGTATGCCTGGCACATCCTAAGTACTCAATAAAGGGGCTATTCTTAGTAACACTACTACAAGGGCTTCCAATCCCAAGGGCAAGCATTGTTAGGAGCTTTTATAACTAAGTTTTAGAAACATGTTTTATTACTAGAAAGGTTTTAGCTGGGTCTTCCATCATTTGTGATGCATTATAGTTCCTGTCATTCAGTATAATTCAATTAATGCTTTTCTAAATTGTACTTCTAAACAGCTAAACTATCCAGGCATTAGGTAGTTTAATAGTCCACAATATTTGTAAAGCACAATTACCTTTCAGTGAGTTTTCCCGAGATTCTCATTTGGTCTCCATAATCCTGTGATATATAGAGAAGATATATAGGACAATGATGTATATAAATTCTGTAAGTATTAAGGCTTCCTTTCTGACCTCTTTGGAATGTAGAATATAACTGTGAAGACAAAGCAAACAAGTCAATATTATAAAATGCTAGAATATGTTATAGATGTAAGGGCAGAATCATACAGTCCTAGCTAGGAGTGCACCAGAGGTGTGAGAGTGATTTGATGTAGTCAGGTAACATTTCACTTTCTAGTTCTCCTATCTCCTCTCTAAGAGACTTCTGAGTGTTTTTCTTGTCTTTCTTCTACAAGGAAGTTAGGCTCACAAAAGGCTGATGACTCTCTCTTCATGAGGACCAGCTCTTGGAGTGCCTTAGTTAATACTCTTGGTTGTGAGCCACAGAAACCAGTTTGATCAGCCTGAGTGATGGAAGGAAATGTGTATAATGATACAAGAGGATCTGTGAACCCAAGACAGGGAGTGGCTAGGCCTCATCAGAGACTAGAGCCAGGAAATGGATGGCCATCCAAGATGGGCCCGTCTTCTGCAGCACTACAGCACATTCTGCATTCTGCATATCTCCATTCACCTCAGTTTGCAGCGGAATTGTTCAGCTTCTCTGAGTACATTACAGGAAATGGCTGTGGTAAAGCTCTCAAGATCTTTCAAACTGTCTTTTAAACCTAGTTTTAAAATTCCTAAAGATAATCTGATCTACCTCATTTAAGTCAGTGTCTAAATCTAGTCAACAATGTTGGGGGAGGGGAGGAGTGCCAGATCCATACCTGTGAGGGTGGTGGGGCCAAGAGAGGCAGGACTGGACAAATACTCTAGAATATGTATGAAAACTATGAAAATACTGAGGTTAGGCAAAACCTAAGACCCACACTGAGGAAATAGAATAAATACAGTGAGAAGAATTGTCAGGAAAAGAAACAGATACTTTTTTCTTATTCATTTAGCCTTGGTATCTCTAATGGCCTTTCAACCTGTCTTGCTTCTGCATGCTTGGTGGACTCAGGAAAGGGGCTCAAATACACAGATGGTGGAGGAAGTCTTCTGAGTGTGCCATCTTAAAGAAAATCTTTCATGACCACTCCCCTCCCACTTTACTTCCAGACTAATTCAGATCCTCTAGGTATGAGATGCTGCGGCATTGATAGATTTTAAAAGCTCCCTAGGTGATTCCAGTGTGCAGCCACACTTTCTCAGTGAGCAATATGAAGGAAAATAGGGAAATAATTATTGAAAGGAAGTTGTATAGCACTGATATACTGCCATTTAAGTTTTTTATATGGATATTCACTGATTTATTCAGCAAACATTTTAGGCATTTTCTTTTTCTTTTCTTTCCTCTGTGTGTGTGTGTGTGTGTGTGTGTGTGAGAGAGAGAGAGAGAGAGAGAGAGAGAGAGACAGAGTCTCACTCTGTTTGCCCAGGCTGGAGTGCAGTGGCACGATGCAGTGGCACGATCCTGGTTCACTGCAGCCTTGACTTCCTTGGCTCGGGAGATCTTGTCGACTCAGCCTCCTGATTAGCTGGGACTGCAGGTGCATGCCACCATGCCCAGATAATTTTTGTATTTTTTTGTAGAGATGAGGTCTCACTCTGTTGTTCAAGGCTGGTCTTGAACTCCTAGGTTCAAGCAATCCTCCTGCCTCAGCCTCCCAAAGTGCGGGATTACAGGTATGAGCCACTACATCCAGCCTCATTTTAGGTATTTTCTATTAAACTCACTCTCTTATAATAGTAAATTAAACATGATCTCTACCATTATGGAGTTTCTAGTGCAGTGAGACAGACAGTCTGGCAGTGGCATAAGCTAGAACAGGGCAAGCACAGGAGGCTATGAGTATGTGTAGAAGGAGCACTTCTGGGAAGGGATAAGGGAGTATTTTCATTAAAATGAGTCAGGTTTAAACGTTTTACTATACATCCAAGTATCTTTTTTAGATAACCTAATTTATAAGACTTTTAAAAAAAATCATCTTTTTTTTTCCTTCAAGGTGACTCATATTCTCAATGTTGCATATGGAGTTGAAAATGCATTCCTCAGTGACTTTACATATAAGAGCATTTCTGTATTGGATCTTCCTGAAACCAATATCCTGTCTTATTTTCCAGAATGTTTTGAATTTATTGAACAAGCAAAATTGATGGTAAGTTTTGTTTTGATTCACAATTCAGAAGCAGAAATTTGAAAGTAAGGATCCATTGCCCAATCTTTATTTTTTCTATAATGAATCTGTAAAAAACTATTATGAAATTTTTCCTCCAACAATATTTCATTAATTCCTACAATTATTTGGTTCTGTAATTGCTCTTTTCTCAAGTATATGTTTACTTTTTTTTCCCCTTTGAGTTGGATGTTTCACTCCGTGGCCCAGAATGGAATACAGTGGCATGATCATGACTCACTACAGCCTTGACCCCCTGGACTTAGGCTTTCAACCTCAGCCTCCCAAGTAGCTGGGACTACAGGTGTGTGCCACTATGTCCAGCTGATTTTTAAATTTTTGTAGACATGAGGTCCTGCTATGATGCCTAGGCTGGTCTCTAACTCCTGGGCTCAAGTGATTCTCCTACCTTGACCGCCCAAAGTGCTAGGATTACAGGTGTAATCTACCGCGCCTGGCCAATATATTTACTTTTAACATTGATTCAGTTTCTCATCTTCCTATGCCTTACTGACAAATGTTAGGAGATAAAATTCTCTACTTACTTAGTTTTTCTCTATAAACATACAGTTAGATTTCCTTTGAGGGTTTATAATAACTTCCCTCTGACCAATTTCCAAGATAATCAGGAGGGCTATAGGGCAGAGACTGCTCTAGACATGTTAGTGTATTTTATGATGAATATGCATCATTTTAATGACTGAGGTAGTTATCATGAATCTTTGCATGTTTCGCAGTAAAATTTTAAGTCATTCTAAGGACTAAATGTGTATTGCTTAACTAAGATTATATGAAAATGCTGATCAGAAGCTGTTCATTGGTTTGCTGATGTTAGAAGACCAAGTATATATATCATAATACTGTAAGAAAGGACTGGCAGTAGTGGGGCACTGCTGGGAAGGAGGCACATAACATCAATAAGGGTACCCAATCTCAAACCGGACAAAGCAGGGACCAAAGGGGGGCCCATACTTTACCTGTACAATGAGCACATATGTACTAACCCTGAATTGTACCACACATCTTTAAAATAAAAAAAAGACCAGTAAGCAGCATGATATAGTACTTTAATATTGCTGATGGATCCAAGTCAACATTCTGACTGGCAGGGCTTCTGGGCTGACTGTTGTCAATAATTATACCTTGAAATGGCATTATTTTTGGTCAGTAGATAATTCTTACAAAATTTATGTATGATAAATAGGTGGAAAAGTAGAAGCACTTACAGAAGTAACTCTTCAGGAACAGCTAACAATAACAGGATTAGAGTCAAGTTTAATTTAATTCTGGCCTAATAGTCTCCCTTTTACCTTCTTTCCTTCCCGTTTTCTCTCCCTTTCACCCCTCCTTTCATTTAGTAATATTTATTGAGTGCCTTATGTACCCAACACTGTTCTAGGTGCCTTCCTACTAGATTACCTGGAAAATTTAAAATTATTCAACTTTACTGTTGATTAACTTTATTGAATTTGGAGATATTCCACATAACGATGTTTTGGTCAATGATGGACTGCAGATACAGTGGTTGTTCCATAAAATTATAATTCCTTATTTTTACCATACTTTTTGATGTTTAGATTCACAAATACTTCTCATTGTGTTATAGTTGCCTAAAGTGTTCACTACAGTAATATGCTACACATATTTATGTAAGTACACTCTGTGATGTTCACACAATAGAATTGCCTAGTGACACATTTCTCAGACTATATCCCTGTCATTGAGCAGTGCAAGACTGTATTTGGATGAAGCAAAGGGAGAGGTTTTCTAATTCAAAGCCCATATTGGCTGCTCTATTCTCTTGTGAAAAATATTATAATCTACCAGTTGTACCAGTTAATACTGTTAAAAATGATACATTTCTATATTTTCTGCTTCTCTCTCTCTCTCTTTTGGGGTCCCACTCTGTCTCTTAGACTAGGGTGTAGTGGCATGATCATGGATCACTGCAGTGTCAACCTTCTGGGCTCAGGCAGTCTTCTTGCTTCAGCTTTCCAAGTAGCTAGGGCTTACAGGCACATGCCATCACACCTGACTAGGCTTTTGGGGTTTTTTGGTAGAGACAAGGTCTTGCTATGTTTTCTAGGATAGTCTCAAACCCCTGGCCTCAAGTAATCCTCCTGCCTTAACCTCCCAAAGTGGTGAGATTACAGGTGTGAGCCACCATGCTCAACATGTATTAGCTGCTTCTCTAAGGAAATGTAGGATATATCTTAGAAGATAAAATGTAGACATCATGCATATTCATATTACAATTGGAAGATATGTACATGTTGCAAGTCAAAATTGGAGAGGGTAATTGTATCCAGAAAGAAAAGGAAAAAATTGAGTACCCTAGTAAGCTTGGAATTCTAAAAAATTGTAAAATACACTTTGCCTTAATCTGGGCTGATAATTCATGAGAATAGATCTTAGTTTGGGATTCCTAAAAACAGCATGAGTCGAGGTTTAAGTGCTGATGCTTAATTTGAGAGGTACCATTTCTGGGTAGTGAGAGTGAGAAGAAAGGAAGGTGATTCAAGGTAGAATGAGAAGCAATGCAAGGTGATACATTTACCAGCTGAGCACACTTCACCACTGGTGGACAAGGAACCAACTGGGTGTTCAGCAGGTGCAGCTGCCCTGCCACCCAGGACGCTTCTGAACAGGGAGTACAAGTAGACTATTCCCCAATACACACTTGGGATGGAGAAAAGCAGGAGTATTTATGTGCTTTTGTCAGTTCCCGTTTCCCAGGGGTCACACTTTGCCCATGGGGTGGTAACTGCCCAACAATTGCAGGTTGCAACAATTCCAGGTTCCACCCCTTCAGCAGCCACCCTGAAGCCTTATCCAGGGTCGTGTGATGTGACTTTTCACCCAAACTCAGAGCTAGCAAGAGAATTCAGAACTCAGGGTATGACTGCCTGTGCTGTGGGAACCATGGGGAAGAGCCAGGCCCCGGGAGCAATGGGCCTTCAAACTGGCTGCTCAGGTGGGGCAAGCCAAGGGTGAGGTACCACGAGACTCCCAGGAGTGCATAATGCATTTCCAATAAGATGAATCAGAATTCCACAATATGTTCTAGCTTCCTAAACCTTGTGTTTTATACTGGGAACCTAACCTCAGCCAATATTTCCTTGACTAAAAAATTTTTATTTCTTAGACTAATATATATTTTATTTTAGTAATAGATATTCTTGAATTTTCTCTTTTTCTTTTCTTTTCTTTCTTTCTTTTTTTTTTTTGGTCTAGAAGAAATCTCTTCATGGTTTTGTCTATTCAAGTGTAGTTAAATCTAATTACTCAGTGAATTCCATGTTTCAAACTACCTTTCTAGGTCCCAGTTTATTGTTTTCATCTTTTCACATATAGTTGTTAAATGGGGTGTCTTCCATTTTCCTATATCTCTCCTCATTTCCCTCTGTACTTGTACAATGCTGTTTGGTTTCTCTGTCCTTCCTTTATGCCTAAAGAGGCAGAAATATACCTGAGAGAGAAGCTATAATGGTAACCTCTAGAGTCTCAACAGTTTCTTTTGGAACTAAATTTACTTGATCCCTCTTTTTATGTGCAAAAGGTACAAAGTATTAAGCTATGTATTTTATATTCCCTGTTTACTTTGTTATTTATTTTATAATCTGACTTGAAAAACATTGTGTAAGTAGTCCATGTTCATTGTAGAAAATCTGAAAAATATAGATTAAAAACTAATATCACCATACTTACACACATAAACTGCTATTAGCATTTTGATGTATTTTTCTAGACCTTTATCATTTATTAATTTATTCATTTATATTATATATATAACATATATACATTTAAGTAAAAATTGTATCGTACAATTCAGACTATTTTGTAGTCTACCTTTTATGGTTAATATCAAACCATTTTAAATTTCTGCATGGTATACTAGTAATTGGTCGTTCTATAATTTATTTATCTTATTTCCTACTATGAGACATGTAAGCTGTTTCTGGTTTTTTTTTCAATATAAGTAAAAGTTCACTAGAGAAATATTATGAGTCTAAATAGTACCTAAATTCACTAAGTTTTTAGATGTTTGTTCCATTTTGTTTCAAAGCATGCCACCCACCACTGTTTTGTATTTGCCAAGGCAACGTTGCCCTCTGCTAGGATAGCTAGTCATGAGTGGACCATTCTGTCCTGTGCTATTCAAAGTGTGTTGCTACCAGACCTCAGCAAGATTGGGAGGTTGTGCCTGAATACAAATGAAGACATTGCTTCTTTCATTGAGAGATTCTGGCTACGCCTGCTCCTGAAATAGCTGGACTAAGCATTATAATTAGTTACAGTTGATTTTCATTCCACTGCAATCTCATCAAGCACTTGAAGACTACATTATGCTCAAGTTTACTGGAAGTTATATGTGAGGAAAAACACATGCACTTGGCTAAGTTACTCTGTTAACAAATGTTAATTATTCTGAGGAGATGTGAGGGATATATGTTACTGCCCTCAAGCTTGCAATCTAGTTGAAAAGCTATTTATACAGCATGAAGACAAAGAAAATTGTATAAAATGGAAACACCATAGCATAATTACTATCCACACATAGCAAAATGGTGATTTGAACTTTGGAGAGAATACCATCAGAGATGCAGAACAAATTAATTTATTCACTTGGCAAAGATTTATGCAATACCTACTATGTGGCAAGAACTGTACTAAGTACTAGGCATACAAAGGTGACTAAGACATTTCTCCTGCCCTCATCTCAGAGAGGTAGTCTTCTTAGCAGAGTTAGCTGTCCCAAGAAGAGCAAAGGTCTTCCAGGCAGAGGATGACAGCAAGTGCAAAGGAGAAAAGAAAAAAGCTTTATAAACTATTGTCACTGTTTTGAGTTCTGGAAAAGGGACATAAAATCAATAATTTTTTTGGAAACACTTTAAAGGACAATAGGATACCTAGGGAATAATAAAAAGAAAAAAAGTAGGTACTTTCAAAAGATGTTGAAAAGCAGGTATTATGTAAAGTAGGGAGAGAGAAGAAAATAATATCTTAAATAACATCTTAAAACATTAGCTAAAATTGAATGCATGGCATATAAGACAGAAAATTTAAAAAGGCATATATATGGATCATAAAATAGAGAAGACTAGTATATAGCCAGGAAATATAAATGGCATTAAAGGGTATCTCTTGCTTATTAAACTTGTGATCACAAGCTTCTTTGGAATATCTAATTTGTTTTGAGCTAAATGAAGCTTGTTAAGAATTTGTATCAATTACTGTAATATAAATTTTATTTTTCTTTATTTTTATTTTTTGACTCGGGGTCTCACTTGGTCACCCAGGCTGGAGTGCAGTGGCATGCTCACAACAGTCTTGATCTCCTAGGCTCAAGCAATTCTTCCACCTTAGCCTTCTAAGTAGCTGGGACTACAGGCATGCACCACCAAGTCTGGCTAATTTGTTTGATTTCTTTTTTTTTTTTAGAGATGAGGTCTTGCTGTGTTGCCCAGGCTGGTCTTGAATGCCAGGGCTTAAGCAGTCTTCTTGCTAGTCTTCACAAAGTAAGCCATCAAGCCCAGCTAATTTTTAAACATCTTAAATTTCATAAAAATAAGCTGTTGCTACAAAGTGAGAAGTTCCCAGTGTATATAGTAAATATTTGTGTCTTGCTTTTCTTTTGTAGATACAGTTAAAGCTTGGAAATAAGTCATAAATATCTACAAGGAAACAATTGAAATTTTCTTTTTTTAATATAAGGATTTTCAAAATATTAACTAATTTTGTTGGTAATCGCTTGGCTTTTTGGAAAAGAGATACACTTGCAAATTTGTTATAACAGATTGGGGAAAGGTGTTTTGCAACAGAATTGCCTTACAAAAGTAAAATAATCCAATGAGTCATAACAATAGTACTGTTAATGTATGCTTTGGGTGGAGGGTTTTCAGTAGTATGATTTTTTTCCTTCCCCATTCCCACCGTGTGTGTGTGTGTGTGTGTGTGTGTGTGTGTGTGTGTGTGTGTGTGTGTTGTGCCAATTGGAGAATCAAGAAACAAAGTGACTGAAATGTCTAATTTTGTACAGTATGCAGCACAGTTCACTACATTTCATTTAGATCATTAACTTTTTACAAGCCTGCGATAGGCCAAGCTGTATCAGTGCTGCTTCATCAGATCTATCACATCTATTATTTATGAAATATTGCCCCCACTAGCACTGGTCTTCTCTGTGTCTCTTTTCACTTGGGAAGTATCATTTGCAAGTTACCTGAAACGTTTTTCATTTATTGGCCTCATGCTGGTATCTGATTGCCTTTTCCATTTCACATTGTTATGAGCTATTTGTGTCATCATTTTACTAGCTCATAAGTTTAAATATTTTTAAGGCATTTCCTTCCAGAATAAAATATGTCCAAGGGTAGGAAATATTTTTCCTTGATGATCATTTTATACATAGAATTCTAAGCCAGTGACACTAGTTTCTTTATAGGAACACTGTGAGTACCTAGAATGTCTCTGGCTTTCTATTTAGTTTATGATTATGGTTTTATTTGTGTTTCTACCTATATATCTTGTGATTTTTCTCTTGTTTATACACATTGGCTACTAAGTTATTAGGCTTTTATGTGTACGTTACTGGATTACTTTAGTTTAATGAAACACACTGTTTTCAAATTCCAAACATATCATCAAAGTATTTCAATCCTGGGTGGGGAAGGAAGGGGTAGGTTGCTTGCTTGATTGATTAACTGATTGGATTTTCATTCATTGCTCGTAATTAATTGTATTTTACTAATCATATAAATTAAATAAACCAATAAAACTGAGTAGTTACTTTATAATTTTAAGTAGTATAGAATGTATAATTGATTTAATAACTTATCCCAAATGAATAATGCCAATTTTGTTTGATTTTTTTTTTTTGCAGAATGGCGTGGTTCTTGTTCATTGTAATGCAGGAGTTTCCAGGGCAGCTGCAATTGTAATAGGCTTCCTGATGCATTCTGAAGAAACGTCGTTCACTAGTGCTTTTTCATTGGTGAAAAATGCAAGGCCTTCCATATGTCCAAATCCTGGCTTCATGGAGCAGCTTCGTACATATCAAGAGGGCAAAGAAAGCAATAAGTGTGACAAAATACAGGAGTTAGAAAGGGACAACAAGTCATGAGTTGCATTCTAGCACATGATGGACAATGGTAATTTCTGAATTGGCCTCTATAGCCAACCCCCTTTTTGGAGAGTGGATGAGGAAAGATTTCCTTTTCTCTTGCTTTTTCAACTATAAACACAAATCAATTTGACTGTCCTGGGCTAGTGTATAAATAAAATTCTAAATTATATTACTTTTTCTCTGTTATTATATGTGATTAAATGTTTCTTTAAATTGAGAAAATAATAAAGTACTTACAGTCATTGATTTCTGTAGAAGAAAAGGGTTTTAATTTAAATTTTATATTAGAGTATGGTAAGAAAAAATCAGTTGATGGAGCCTTTAAATATATTTCCATAGCAACTGTTTTCAAAAAGGAAAAAACTTGAAGTGGTATTTAACATCCTATTTCAGAGGAAGGTAAATTTCTTTGTAAAGAATCCTTTTAAGATTATAATTTAATACCTTAAACCTCCCAAAAGAGATAACCAGAATCTCAAGTCTTCTGAATATTTAGGTAGTGGGTACAATATTCACAAAATTTTTATGTTCTCTTATGAAAACATAAACGCTTTTCACTTAGATTAAAAAAATTTTTTTTTCTTTTTGAGTCAGATTCTCACTCACACCCAGGCTGGAGTGCAGTGGCATGCTCATGGCCACTGCAGCCTCAACCTGCTGGGCTCAGGCTATCCTTCTGCTTCAGCCTTCTAAGTAGCTGAAACCATAGGTGTGCGCCACCGTGCCCGGCTAATAGTTTGATTTTTTTTTTGTAGAGGTGAGGTATTCAAATTGCCCAGGCTGGCTTAGAAACCTTGGGCTCAAGTGATACTCTCGCCTCTATCTTCAAAAGTGCTGGGATTACAGGTGTGAGCCACCATGCCTGGCCTAGATTTCAAAATTTAATTATATTACCTATACTTCTTTTTTTATTTTTAAAATGTTTGTATAGCTGTTCACTCTTACATGATTGTGAGCTTTTGGTTCTTTGATTAGGTGGTCTATTTTGTTTCATTTTATGCTTTTTATCTTGGGTGCCTAACAGTCTGTTTTTTGGGGTCCCATGTCATAATTTTTTGATCTCTTTGGATCTTTGGGAAAATATTTTATACTGAAAGATTATTTTTCAGAAGTGATTTGTTAAGTGGTTTGTTTTCTATTCCAATATTCTACCAAAGAACATATTTTTAGGGAAAGGTGAGTTATGGTTTTCTAAGAAATTTAAAGTACATTGTTAGGAAGCTGTAATCATTTACAATTTTATCTCTGGCCAAGCCTTTGTATAAGTCCTTTTTTTTTCTTTGAGTTGGAGTCTAACTCTGTCACCCAGGCTGGAGTGCAGTGGCACACTCACTGACCACCCCAATGTCGACCTGCTGGGCTCCCATGATCCTTCCGCCTCAGCCTTCCAAGTAGCCAGAACTATAGGTACACGTTACCATGTCTGCCTAATTTTTGATTTATTGTAGAGACAAGGTTTTGCCAAGTTGCCTGGGCTGATCACAATGGTTTCTTTTTTTCTTTAATAGCTCCATATTGGCAAGACTGAACTTGGTACATTTTAAATTTGCTTAAAGATTTTAAATTTTTTTCTTCAGAATAAAGTATACTTAAAATTAAACATAGTAATCGTGGTGTAACTCCCATAGCCCTTTTTACTGTCTTTTGTTATAACGTTGGACCACTTTAGGTCTCAGGACACAGAATCTCTCCCTCTGACTTTTCCCTGTTCTTTCACCTGCCCAAGGCAAGACTCTAATATGATTGTGGGTCAGAAGATCCTCATTCCAGAGTCTTGTCCCATACCCTAGAACAACAGTATCCAACCTTTTTGGCATCAGGGACTGGTTTTGGGAAGACAATTTTTCCAAGGGGCCAGGGAATCACCAGGCATTGGATTCTCATAAGGAGCAAGTAACCTAGATCTCTCGCATGCCCAGTTCACCGTAGGGTTCACACTCCTATGAGACCTGTATGCCCCCCCGACCCCACCTGACAGAAAGCAGATCACCAGTCATACACCTCTCACTGCCTGCTGTGCTACCAGTCCGTGGCCTGGGGATTGGGGACCCCTCCACAGAGGCTTACTCACAGAGAAGCCAAGAAAAGTCTGGACAGGGCTTGCTGGGTTTAGATCCTATGCTTTTTTGTCCAATCATTTATATGTTTGTCAGTCATGCCTGGGTAATGAAACCTCCATAAAAACCCTAGAGGACAGGATTCAGAGGGCTTCTGGATAGTTGAACACATGGAGGTTCCCTGAGGAGGTGAGCCCAGGGAGGACAAGGAAGCTTCATATCCCTTCCCCTGTACTGTACCTACTGTACCCTATACATCTTTTATGTGTCCTTTATTACAAACTGTAAGGTTAAGTAAATGCTTCCCTGAGATCTTTGAGCTGCCCCAGCAAATTAATCAAACACAAAGAGGAAGTTGTGGGAATCCCGACTCAAAATCAGTCAGTGAGAAGTTCCAGAGGCCCAGACTTGTGACTAGTGCAGGGGGTGGGGTCAGTCTTGGGAACTAAACCCTCACCCCATGGGATCTGACATTATCTTCAGGTAAATTGTGTCAGAATTGAATTAGAGGACACCCAGTTTGTGTCTGCTGCTTGGTGTGTGGAGGAACCTCCTCACACCTTTGGTCCCAGAAGTCTTTCTCTGTGTTGATGACTGTTGCACTGGTGGTGTGAGAGAAGAGGAAAAACATACTGTGGGAGTTTTACCTAAAACACTCATTAAGATGGAATTTAATAGTTTTCATGTCACCTTTCAGGACTTAAGAATATCATTGCCGTGTAGATTTTATATTAAGAATTCCTGAGCTCTTTTTTTTTTTTAGTTGGAGTCTCACTCTATCGCTTAGGCTGGAGTGCAGTGGCCGCTCCTGGCCACTGCAGCCTCGACCTGCTGGGCTCCAGTGATCCTTCCGCCTCAGCCTTCCAAGTAGCTGGAACTACAGGCATGCACTACCACGCCCGGCTAGTTTTTGATTTATTGTAGAGATGAAGTCTCACCAAGTTGCCCAGGTGGGTCTTGAACCCCCAGGCTCAGGCAATCCACTCACCTCAGCCTCCCAAAGGTGCGGGATTACAGGCTGAGTCACTGAGCCCGGTTCATCCTGAGCTCTTCTTAAAGACACATTACAGACAGCAAGCATAAGTTGGAAAGTGTACATTGAACACATCTGTGAATTGGAGAAGGCAAGCTTTTTTGTGCTGTCATGAGCAAAAAGTAGAAGTGATAAATACAAGTTATGTTTTGAGATTACTTACAGCCTGAGAAGATGCAGTCACTTGCAGTGCTATGAGTATTTTGCTTCTGTTAAGCGGCCTATGTGGAGAAAAGGGAATGCTTTCACTGTTGGTGGCAATGAAATCTAGTTCAACCTTTGTGGAAAGCAGTGTGGTGTTTCCTCAAAAGAACTAAAGGTTGAGCTTCCATAAAAGACACCTGCACACATATGTTCATTGCAGCACTAATCATAATAGCAAAAACTTGGAACCAACCCAGATGCCTATCGAAAGTGGACTGGATAAAGAAAATGTGGTACATATACATGATGGAACATTTCACAACCATAAAGAAGAACAAAATCACATCCTTTATGGCAACATGGATGCAGCTGGAGACCATGATACTAAGTGAACTATCACAGAAACAAAAAGCTGAATACCGCATGTTCTGACTCATAAGCGGACCCTAAACATTATGCACACAAGCACAAAGACAGGAACAACAAACTGGGCACTGCTTAAAGGAGAGAGGGAGGGAGAGAGAATAAGGGACACACAATGACCCAATGAGTACCATGTCCACAACTTGCGAGACAGAGGGTTTGCTAGAAGCCCAAACTTCACCTTCACACAATCCACTTATATAGCTAATCCTCACATGTACCCTACAACTCTAAAATAAAAATAAATTTTAAAAAAAGAAGCAACCTATATATAATCTACCTACAGTGAAACCAACCAAGGCAGGAAGAAGCCTTTTAAATATAGACTGATAAATAATGTTGTATCTACAGTCAGTATTGCTGCCAGTTTACTGGGTGAGCCTCCTCTATTCACATGAAAGTATTTAAATACATTTTCTTTTGCAGAGTGTTATGTAGTTGTTAGCCATTACATGTTGTCACATGACTTGGTAAAACTTGTTCGTAATTAATAGAATATTTATGTTTGTATTTGGTTTGTACGCTTAGTTGTTGCCTGCAGTGATCTGGTTATGGTTCAAACACTTACCTTTTGTATCATCTACAAAACTGCTTTGAATATCAAATTTTGTTTTCATCTTAAATCATGCTAGTTTACTACATTTAAAATAGACCAATGAATATAATTCAGTCTTCTAAATTAGGGGTACTGTTTTTTTATTGTGGTTGTTGTTGTCTTACTTTGTCGCCTAGGCTGGAGCACAGTGGCATGCTCACAGTCACTGCAGCCTTGACCTGCTGGGCACAGGGGATCGATCCTTCCACCTCAGCCTCCCAAGTAACTGGAACTACAGGTGTGTGCCACCCCACCCAGGTAATTTTTTGATTTATTATAGAAATGAGGTCTTGTCGAGTTGCCCAGGATGGTCTCAAACCCCTGGACTCTGGCAGTCCTCTCACCTCGGCCTCCCAAAGTGCTGGGATTACAGGCCTGAGCCACTGCATCTGGCTTAGGGGTACTGTTGATGAAAGATACCAAACTCTAAAATATTTAAGATGGCTTATTCTGAGCCAAATGTCAGTGTTCTTGGACCTGTGACACCTTTCTCCAGGAGGTCCTGAGAACATCTGCTCACGGTGATTGAATCATAGTTTGATTGTATACATTTTAGGGGGACAGAAGTTATAAGAGACCTTAAATCAATACATGTAGGATTTAACTTAGTTCAGCCCGGGAAGGTAGGACATTTCCAAGCAGGGGATTGCAAGTTAGAGGTGGATTCAAAGATTTTCTGACTGGCAGTCTGTAGTTCCTATCTAAGGAATTTGGAAATCAGTAGAGATGTCCTGTTGCAATAAGGGGGAGGAGGGTGTGGAGGGAAGGAGCTCCCAAGTTTCTTGATATGTAGATGAAGCTTTATAGGTGGCAGACTTCAGAGAAAACAGAGAAGTGTCTTAAAATGTTCCCAGAGTCCCCAGAAGACAGCTTTGCAGGGTCATATTTGATTTTCCTTATCTGTTACACAATGCACAATC